CCCTTCACTACAACCCATGTCTAAGCAAAAGCTTGTCGAGGAGCGAGGGGAAGAAGGGAGACACATACATTCAACCGCATGGATCCGGTGACCCCAGGAACGACGTTCTCGTGGTCTGAAGATCTTTGAAACGAGAAGACCCTCCGTCTGCTGTGACCAGCCGGAGGGTAGAAGCGAGCCCAAAAGCTCACTCTCACCTTCCACCCCAGCAAGGCTGACTAACGTCAACCACGCTTGGCCATTCCTTGCCACATTGCAATAAGAGCGAAATTACCTCCGTCGGTGAACGGTTATTCACCACTTCAGGGACCTTTACTCATAACGGAGTAAGGGTATTCTCACTCTGCTTGTTGGAAACCGCCGAAATGAAGAGGTTTCTCAAACCAAGTTGGGATAGGCGGCGAAGGAGACTACTACCAAGATGGCCTCAGCAACCATGTGCCAACGCGGCCTGTCTGTGTCATCCGAAAACTCGTCTTACCTTGAGGATCCAACAGCAGTAGATCCAGCTACGGGCTCCTCTGCTCTGTGTTGATGACGAGAGCGACACAGCGAGAAGCGGGGCAACCAAACGGTCTTGTGGTCGCTAGGGGACGACCAGCGACCAGCCCACCAGCTAGGCCTTTGCTCAATCGGCCGTTTTGTTTGTATGACGGAGAATAAGAAGGTGACGTTACTTGAAATTAGTACAGGAATAATGTCTAATAATATATAAATCGAAAATAAAACGGCCGATGGAGCAAAGGCCACCAGACCACCAGCCCCAAAAATGCCGGGCCGACCTTCCCGGAATACCCGAACGGGTTTTGTCCCGAACCCGCCTCATTTCTGTCTCCGTCGCGTCACCCCTAGCACGCCCGCCAGCTACCGTCCAATGCGACTGTGCACAGTCCCGCCATTATGAAGAGAAAAAAACAGAACTAGACTAAGGTGAAAATACTGCGTCGAGCTTCATTTTACGGAATGTCAGAACAGGTGATTCACGTACCCACGACCGTCCCTCCGACCGAATTTCTACGTGGTGCCCCTACCTACGTGATGTTCCTTTAGGGCTTTTCGCCGCAGACAAGGGCCTCACGCAGCGCAAGGGCCAGAGTACCGCCAAGCGTTGCAAGAAGTCCGCCCCCGTGTCCGCCCGGACACTGGAGGGATCTCTCGCCTGGCGGTGCGAGGCGCGGACCTCCAAGGGAATTGAGGCGGTGGAGCTACAACTATAGAAAAAATCAAGTTTGTTGAGCTCGATCTCCTCTATCTACTACTATTGTAGCTCCACCCACTTAACTCCCTTCGAAGCCTGCGCATCGCACCGGTTCGCCAGAGAGCCCTCAAAGGCCAAGAATGGAGACGGGGGCGGGCTTCTTGCAAGGCTTGGCGGTACTCTGGCCCTTGCGCTTCGCCAGGCCCTTGTCTGCGGCGGCCGAGCCCTAAAGGAAGATGACGTAGGTAGGGACACGACGTAGAATTGGGTCGAAGGAGCTGTCATGGCTCAATTCTCTCTTGCTCAAATTTGGACTCGCATGGTCCCAACTCCTGCGTGAACATGTACTATTGTGGGTGAAAAAAGACCAGCGCGGAATCACGCCGTCACCCCGACAATGACGGAGACCATTGGACGCCACACTGTGTGAAACAAGGAAGAGGAGCGACATTTCTTCGCATTAGACGCAACGACCAAAAGTAGAGAGCTTTGATTATTGGTCGTCAAACAAGCTTTGGTTCCCCAACGCGTATCTCCGATTGTGGGATTTTTGGGAGGGGGGACAAATGCATGACTCACGACAGCAGTAGTTTTGATGGGTTGTTTTTGTGGGTTTGAGCTTCGCATTTTTATATGGTGCCGGGATTGTGCTTGAGATGTTTTCTTAAGTCTTGCAGGTTCGCTGGATGTGCATGCGTGTGGTCGTCTTGCGGTGTGGGTTGCACCGTTCGGGGAAGTAAATGAGGTACTGCTGTGGTCCCCATGTCTCAACAATCAAGGAGACTACGCTTGTAGCGTATGTGCGCCTGTTTGTCGAAGGTTGAAGGCATCGAAACGGGAGGGATGATCCCTTTCGTTTTAGCCTTCCCTGAGTACTTCTCTGTTGGGCGCCGGGGTGTGTGTATCGAGAGAAGATGGCTTTAGTTCTCGACACCACGCCACGTTGAGCGATCCCTCGCAATTCGTCAGCCGTCCGAGAGCTCAATCAAGGGTGTTGAAGGACGACGGCGGGTTGAAACTGTGGTCGTGGATCCCCCGCTTTGGTGTAACATGTGCATTGTGAAGTCGTGTTAGGGAGTGTACCTGATAGCATGAATAGGGTGTACCTTACAGAGCATAGGTTGTAGGATGATCGGGAGGTACTGCAAGCGGCGGAGAGATGGATGGTACCTGTCGAGGAGATGGCATCGGGGTGCGCACAAAAAAACAAGACCGACATAATTTTATTATTCGATTTCCGCACCGGGGTCGGTGAGATCGCACCCGGTGCGATCTGACCTACTTCCAAAATCCCAGATCGAGTGATTTTTCAGCTGCCGTGGCGAGGTACAAAAATGTGCGTAGTCTGCGGGGTTGTGCCCCTCCCCTGTTGTGCCGAGCCCCCGAGCCCCCGCGTCGTCCTTGAAGACTTTGAACTTCTGAAAACAATAGTCCGGGGCACTTACAAACCTGTGTGTTCTGTCCTCAGTTCCAAGTGTATGAGCTGCCAGCGAGCACGTGGTTCTGTCTTTGTACCAGCGGTATCTGTTCAAAGAAGCATCGCAATTTACCCAGGCTGAAAAGGGCGCGGATGCGGGGACTGATTGGTGGGTCGCAGACCAGCACAAAAGAAAAACAGTTGCTGGTCCCTCCGTACCAATACAAAGCGGGTGTCGCCAAATTCCAAAAATAAATTGTCTCTCTCTCCCCTAATCTCCCCCCTCTCGTGATTTTTGTTTGGCAACACCATCATCATGTTCAACGGGAAAATCCTCAGCAACGACCATCTCGTCCCCGGCAGCGGCTTCACAAGCAACACCACCTCCCGACCGGTCGTGGTGCGTCATTACCCGCCGGTCTAAGAGAGACTGCGATGATGCGGACGCCGCCGCGCCACGGCGGCAAGCGTCCATCCGCGTTCGCCGAACACGTATGAGCTCATGCACGACAGAGACTCATACATGCCGACTGATCTACAAGACCTGCTTCGCCTGAGTGCCAACCCCGGGAACATTCTGAGGATCGACGAGGCGTGCCGCGAGTTCGGACCGAGTAGTTTCCACGCGGTCAAGGCAAAGATGTGCGAAGAGCACGCGCAAAATCGACTGTTGTCTGCGACGGCTAGAGGGGGCAGGGTCAGCCCACCCATCGATCGGCAAACGACCTGGCGTGCTGAACGTCGGTATGCAGTCGTCCCTACACGTAAGCAGCGGTGGCGACAGCAGCAGTGGTGGAGACTTCTCACCGGACGTGATGTATGGCCCACGGGCCCCGACGTGCCCAAGAGACGCCCAATACAACATGACGTAAGGTTGCGGATTTCGGACCGCCGAAGAAGACGAAGCCAGCCCCGCACTCCAGCTCACAGCGGCAGGGGAGCCAAAGCTACCGTTCGTCTTCTTCGGCGGTCCGAAATCCGCAACCTTACGTCATGTTGTATTGGGCGCCTCTTGGGCATGTCGGGGCCCGCGGGCCATACATCACATCCGGTGAGAAGTCTCCACCACTGCTGCTGTCGCCGCCGCTGCTTACGTGTAGGATCGACTGACGGCCGACGTTCAGCACGCCCGACCGATCGCCGATCGATGAGTGGGCTGAGCCTGCCCCCTCTAGCCGTCGCAGACAACAGCTAGGGGTGCTAATCGGGCTTGTATGCGCGTAAAAATATAGAATCCGGTCTGTTCGAAAATTTCATCCCTATGTAAAAAAGTAATGAGTCCTTCTGACGACACCGAACGTCAAACTACTTGGTTTTCGACCGCTTTCATGCTCATTTTTGGACGACGAGTCCTTCCGCCCAGGAGCATATTGACCCTTCATACTCTACACACACCTTTGTAGGCCGTGACCAGTGTATAGTAAACTCCGCTTTTCGTAAAAGAGAGCCCGAAAAGAGCAAAAAACCTGTTGTTTTGAAGCCTTTGCTCACTTTTGTTTTGCTGACGGTGGAGCAACGCCGAATGAATCAAGAAAAAGCGAGCTTACTGTACACAGGCTTGCGAGTCAAAGCCGACAGCACAGAAGGAAGTAGTTCAATCGCGCACGCCGTCGGGGAGCACTCATGCGTCAAAAGTGACCACTTTTGCCCGAAATCTGGCTGAAGTTCCTCCTGGCGGGTACGCGTGAGCGGGAAAAAAAAACGGATTATTCTTTTTGTAGAGGAACACGACATAACAATCTTCGGCACGCTCGAGTTACACGTCCTTCTGCCACGACCACACCACGCGGTGATAGCTGGTTGTGCGTTTGATGCTCCCCAGCGGTTCGTGCGACTGCTGAACAAGAGATGGGCGTGTGTGGAGTGTCGCAAAAAAGGAAAGCGAGCGCCTGGTTGCTGAAAGTCCGATATTTTCGTCAACTAATCTGCTGGCTGCTCCATTTGTTCAGCCACATCATCGCATACCGTATATGACACAAGATAACACACCCCGGTGATAACATTTTGGGCTCCGGAAATAATATCGCCGGGTGTGGTATCCTGTGGGGGGTGTGGTGTCTTGTGTACCCCGGGTGATAAAGTCCAGCTCGCAGGGTCCCTAAGGGGGTGTGATAGCGCGTCCGAACACCCACAGGGTGTGTTTGGGGGTGTGATAGCACGTTCGATCACCCACAGCGTGTGTTTTGAGGTGTGATACAGTTGAACCGCTGCTGCCGCACACTTGAAGGCGTGTGGTATTGCGGGGGGTGTGACAGCAATGCCTGCACGAACACGTGCAGTTGCGCCGTACTGTAGGGACCTACCTAAAGTACTGAACTGCGGGGCGTGGAGAAACAAATACAATGGGGCTCAACCGAGGTGACGAGACTCCTGAGCACATGCCCTCGGCGATAACTCAACCCCGTCAACGCCATAGAAAATTTCAAAAACAATACAGGCTTGAATGGTGCATAAAAAAATGGAATACAAATGGAAGGTACCTCGCCCGATGTACGATAATCGGCGGTGGCCGCAGCGTGCGCCATCCGCCCTGCCCCCCTCACAAAAACGTTGGCTGCTGCGCACCTTACTTTGGATATGACCAAGGGAGAGTAACGCAAATACACCACGACCACAAATCGAAGATCACAAACCACAAATCTACACTACGAAACACAACAACGTTGTACTCCACGCGGCGAAGAACACAGCCGACGGTTCCTTCACACTCGCTCAAAGACGACGGAAGGACGAGAAACGCACGCCAGGAAAAATACGAGGAGACATGAGAACGACGCCACAAGCCATTTTCTCAACACCAGCATCGCTGCGGATGCCTCACAGCTCCTCGCCCTCGTCGTCGCTCACGTCCACCACCACCACGCCCGTATCGTCGTCATCGTCGATGTCCAACACCTCGGCAAGTTCTCGCCTCCCGACGACGAGTCAGCCTTGTCCGCAGCGCCCGACGGCGCTCCGATGGGCTCCCCCTGGGGACTGGAGCCGAGCTCCTTGTTGGCCCAGGCCTCGTCTCCCGACCCGTCCAAGGGAAGCAGCAGGCCAGCCTTCCTCCAGCTCGAGCGGATTTCATCCGCGGTCAAGGCATCCCATGACTTCGTGACCCACTGTGCGACCAACCCCCGCGGACGGGGCTCCGGGTATCCCCGGTCGTTGCGCGTGACGTCCTTGGAAGCCATGTGGTCGTCGTAGAGCCTGGATATGTTTGCCTTGAGGATCTTGTTGACCAGGCCATCGCACGGCTGGAGCTTTGGAGTCAGGCCTCCCAGGATGAGGAACATCGTCGTGTTGGACTCCTCCATCGCCTTGGGAGACGCGTCGGTCTTGTGGACGGTGTAGTCGTCCCACGCCAGAAGCGTGTCAGGCTGACGGTAGCCGCCCAGGCGGCTCTGCCGCCCCGGGCGCCGGTTCCACACCTGCGGCACCCACACGTCGTCGAACACCCGCTGGGAGTGCCATCCCTTCGGGTCCCGGGCGTAGGCCATACGTCGGGCGTACGCATAGCCCTTCTTGTCCTTGCAGTTCTTGCACTCGCGCTCGATGCTATTGGCGGCCGGGGACTTCCCCTTCGGAGTGGGCTGTCCCTTGACGATGAGGAGGGGCGGCAGCTTGCTGCCGTCGGCGAACACCGTCAGGACCGAAGTGATGCGCATCTCCTCCTTGCCGCCGGTTTTGACGGCAATCTCCTTGTCGCCCGTGGCCTGCGGGATTCCTTAGAGTAGCGAAAACCGACGACAACGTGGGGTGCGTAAAAACTTTTTTTTTGTGAAGATTCGGGAAGTGGCAGCAGTGGTTGCAAAACAACATGACCAAAAACACCAGAGAGCAGGAATAGAAGGAAAATACGCAAACTGCGAACATGTACATAGCTCATTAAATAAAAAGGGGTGGCCCGGAAGAATCGTTGACGGAGGAAGGGACAGGATTACTATGTCTAACGCACTACGAGCGAAAACTAGGGCAAAATTAATACTCACGTTCACAGTGTCCTTCCCCGGGTTCTCGAACCACGTAGGGGTTTCATCCATGTTACCGATCTTCTCCAAGGGGAACTTGAGACGCGGCCCCGAAGGAACTCCAGCACCACTCCCACCCCCGCCGCCGCTCGCGCTGCCTCCCGCCCCTGCCGCAACCCCTAGGTATTCGACGCCGTCCGCAAGTTTGAGCAGGGAAGGTACGTCGTACTTCAGCCTCCTCCACTCCTTGATCGCCATGCAGGCGATCAAGGGCCAGCCGGAAGGAAGTTTCTGGCCTTGCCGGGTGACAGCTCGCACAGAAAAGCGGTAGACCCTGAGAAACCTTCTGCACCACTGGTTGTGCCTGTTCTTGAACTTGAGGGAGCCCTGGAGATCGGGTGGCGCCGGCCTCTCCCCGAAGAAGTTCGGTTTGAGTTCGACGGCCCTGTTCTTGATCATCTTCGTCGAAACACGGGCGGAGATGCCATCAGAACGCAGCTCATTGATCCAGTCCACGACCTCACGCTCGGCCATCGTGTGCGTCCTGATCCGTCCGACGTGCAGCGACAGGCGGTTGTTGGCTTTCTTCTTGCGCTTCCCTCCTCCCTTGTACGTGTCCTGCTTCGCCAGCGCGGCTTCGTACTTGGCGACGTCCCTGACCCACGCCGCCAACGTCGCCTTGTTGGGAATGTTCAGGATCCTGCTGGCATAGCTTATCCCAACAGTCCCGCCCGGCCCCTGCGCCCCCTTGAGCCTTTTCTGTGAGTACCTCACCGCATCCACCTTGAACTTCAGAGGGTGATGCTTCCTTTGGCGTCCACCACCAAGCTCGGGGATCGCGAAGTCCGGCGGCTCCAATTCCAGCTGCCCTTTCTTTCTCCTTCCTTTGTTCTGTGCCGGTGTACCGAAGAGAACGCCGCCGAGCCCATCTCCCCACTCTGTCTCTCCGGGAAACATCATGTTGCCGGATGCACCATCGTTGGCCACCGGTGCTCCTCCCGCTGCCGGTGTTGCTGCTGCCGCTGCTACTTCACTTCCTGCTGCTGGGACTGGCGCCGGCGCTGGAGCTGGCGCCGGTGCTGCTCCTGATGACGGCGCTCTGAGTGTGCTGCCCACCCTACAGAAGACAAACGGAGGAAATCATGTGCAGGATGGCACGAAGCGGTCAATGTTGGAACGCACGAAAACATGTGTCGTGTGGGCAGAAACCAAAGCTGCTTCTTCACGAGTATGCTCGTTGATTTTTGGTCGACAAACACCGTCTCCAGTTTTCCAAATATCGTGCAGCGGTTGGAAGTACATAGAGGGTGAACAAAAATGTGCAAAGTAGGCACCAAGGAAAATTCGTCAGTGCGGAATGGATGCCAGCTGCAAACAAAGCTGCGGCATTTCCGCGACACACGACGCCATGCAGGAACACAAATCATACACACAAAATACAACAAACAATAATATGTACTAGAAACGTGTGGCTCAAAAGAACAACGACAAACACACAAATCAATTTGCAAGATGTGCATGAAAAATATTCACACAACGACACAACATAAAATGAGTAGGATACCGGGAATGTGTGGCTAAAAAAAAACTACCTACCGCTGTACACACAAAACAATTGCAAAATGTGTACGGGGAAGGTGTGACTCAAAAAGAACAGTGAAAAATTACAAGAATCCGTGAGTGCGGGTGGCGCAAAAAAAGCCTACCGATATCCAGAATTGCATGTTTCGAGACCACACGCGGACCAATACTACGCCAAATCCATGCAGCACACAAGTCGACGACCCTTCGACGGCGGTGGTATCTCCTTCTCTCACGGAATCACAAATCTTTGTTTGGACAACGGGTGGGTACAACCTGGATTTCCTGCTACTACTACACAGTACAGTACTACTGCGGCGGCTGCGGATACTGGATTCCTGGACGTGTTTACCTGAAGGAAAGCCAAGAGAACCTGCGAGCAGGACTTGGCTCCCCAGTGACTTCCTAGTGGCTTCCTAGGTTCGGGCGAGGGCATGTGTGGAGCTATGGCAATGTATATGTTGCCATTTTGTTTGAGTCATCTACAGTCGACCCCGCTTTAAGGACGCACATGGTTTTTCCTGACAAAAAGCGTCCTTAAGGCGGGGTTGCGTCCTCAAAATTCAGGGAACGGTAGCTCACCATCCCCGGGGCCCATGAAGGCATGCTATACCTCAAACTACACGTCTTTTGCTAAGGAACGGGGTGGTACGAAAAGTCAGCATCGCCGAGACGACTGGCAACCGTTTGTTGACGTCGAACATGTTTACAATACTTGAAATGAGCTGTACCGCAGTCAGGGACGTGTTGAAAACAACTACTACAGTACACCAGTTAGTACTTGGCCAACTAATGTACTGCATAGCCAGCAGCGGACGAGGGAGGAAAGTCCAAGTAGACATATATTTATCTCATTCTTGTTAACCAAAAAAAACGAGCGTATTTCAGCGTCGCAACGAGGAACACCAGTACATATCACTGTCCCGGCGGAGACCAAAAGCTACCCTGATGGCTTTTCCTTCCACGTATCGCAAGAGTTTCCTGAACCTCCCCCCGCGGCTTGGCTCTACGGCTCTGTTGAGTTTCATGAGTAAACGAGTGCACGGTCTTCGAAAGAAGGTACTGCGTCTCACGGTACTCGCCACCCCTTCCCTCCGGATACAAATACAGATAGCGCCCGCAGTTAAGAAAAATTCTGTTAAGAAAAAAGGCTCAACTTTGAACAAAAAATAAGAAAAAAGGGCTAAGAAACATAGCTTAATCTCGGCGAGAAGGTAAGAAACGCCCCAGTAAGAAACGTGATGGTGCGATACCCCCATCATATCNAAGAGTTTCCTGAACCTCCCCCCGCGGCTTGGCTCTACGGCTCTGTTGAGTTTCATGAGTAAACGAGTGCACGGTCTTCGAAAGAAGGTACTGCGTCTCACGGTACTCGCCACCCCTTCCCTCCGGATACAAATACAGATAGCGCCCGCAGTTAAGAAAAATTCTGTTAAGAAAAAAGGCTCAACTTTGAACAAAAAATAAGAAAAAAGGGCTAAGAAACATAGCTTAATCTCGGCGAGAAGGTAAGAAACGCCCCAGTAAGAAACGTGATGGTGCGATACCCCCATCATATCAAAAATCTGCGGTGCTCCCAACCCCCTCCCAAGCTGAACAGAAGTATATCGGAAGGAGAGGCTAGGGATAGGGGCGGGTCCTATGTCTATGTGGGTCCGTGTGGTCGCTAGCCATTCAAGTGGCAGGACCCTGGGTGTCGAGAGGAATTGTCCAGAGAGGAATGTACATGGGACCCCAGCCTACAAGCACTGCTACCGACCTGATGATAGCAGCCTCTCGATCGGTACAGAGTTCGGTAGATGAGCCAGAGCAGCGGTAGTATGAGCCTCGAAGGTGGCTTGTGAGAAGGAGTAGAAGGTCTCCGGTCGTGGATACGGTATTCGCTTGTTGATTATTGCTAACTCAGGGCAAGCAAGGAGAAGAGAAGGAGGCAAGGGGACTCAGCAACCTAGCCTCTAGACGGGGCCCGGCAAACCAGACCTTACTGCTAGTACTTGTTGGGAATAAACACTCTCCCGAAGGTGCAACTTCTATCAACCGTAACAATGTAACTGTGACATAAGTGCTTTTTTTTTGCAGGAGGCAGAGTCCACCCCCCCCCCGCGCCCCTGCTGTCCCAGTGAGTGCTGTACAACCATATGCTCTCCGCTGTTGTACGGGTTTGATGGCACTCTCCACCTCTCTTGAGGGCTTGATGGTGTGGATTGTCCTCAGAGATCAAAAGACAGAACAAAGAAAATACGAAGTGCTTGTTGTAGTCTAAGGAATAAGAGAATCGGGAGGATGCGACAGTCCAAAGGAAGAAGAAATGCCATTTACGAAATGGACGACTTGGGCCGGTACTTCGACCCAAAAGAAGGGATTTGTGAGGCTCGAACCCATTTCGACGTTTCTTAACTGCGAACGCTATCGGTGAGGGACGAGGTTATGCACGACTCTTTTTTTAGCGGCATCAGATGGACCGCCGGTAGATGGGAGGAATCTATCCATACCAACACCCAGTTGCACCTGCAGCAGCAGACCGCTCGCTACTTCTGCTGTCTGTGCGTCTCTACTTCTGCACTCACTTTGGTGCGTGGTTCGTGCAAAGAGCGGCCCGCAGGCCCGCAGGGCACACAAAAAGAGGGGTACGCGGCAGAAAAATGGGGGTACCCCAGCATCGTATAATCATATTCTGCCGGGCCCCCGGTGCTCCGCTAACCAAGTTTCCTTTAAGCGGGGAGTTTCCTTAACGCGAGCGTCCTTAAAGCGGGGTCGACTGTAGCTGCTGACACGATGACTGTTGGATCTTGGGAGTGTACGATGATCAAATTGGGAGATGCAGCATACCACGATATCCTGGCTTCGGCTGGGCTTGAAATAACCCTTTTGCTGTCCTCCGCTCTTTGCACCAGTGGCTTCCTAGGTTCGGGCGAGGGCATGCGCGGAGCTATGGCAGTGTATGTGTTGCCATTTTGTTTGAGTCATCTAGCTGCTGACACGATGACTGTTGGATCTTGGGAGTGTACGATTATCAAATTGGGAGATGCAGCATACCAATATGTCCTGGCTTCGACTGGGCTTGAATTAACCCTTTTGCTGTCCTCCGCTCTTTGCACCAGTGGCTTCCTAGGTTCGGGCGAGGGCATGCGCGGAGCTATGGCAGTGTATGTGTTGCCATTTTGTTTGAGTCATCTAGCTGCTGACACGATGACTGTTGGATCTTGGGAGTGTACGATCAGCATACCACGATAATATATATATATATATATCCTGGCTTCGGCTGGGCTTGAAATAACCCTTTTTTTGCTGTCCTCCGCTCTTTGCATCAGTGGCTTCCTAGGCTCGGGCGAGGGCATGTGTGGAGCTATGGCAGTGTATGTGTTGCCATTTTGTTTGAGTCATCTACTGACACGATGACTGTTGGATCTTGGTAGTGTACGATTATCAACTGGATGGAGATGCAGCATACCACGATATCCTGGCTTCGGCTGGGCTTGAATTAACCCTTTTGCTGTCCTCCGCTCTTTGCATCAGTGGCTTCCTAGGCTCGGGCGAGGGCATGTGTGGAGCTATGGCAGTGTATGTGTTGCCATTTTGTTTGAGTCATCTACTGACACGATGACTGTTGGATCTTGGTAGTGTACGATTATCAACTGGATGGAGATGCAGCATACCACGATATATATCCTGGCTTCGGTTGGGCTTGAATTAACCCTTTTGCTGTCCTCCGCTCTTTGCATCAGTGAGTGGCTTCCTAGATTCGAGCGAGGGCATTTGTGTGGCTGAGATGTGTGCCTATGTGGAAGAATATGTAGAGAGAGTCGTATTGGCATTCGCACGTAGCGCATTGCGCATTTTTCGAATTTTGGCCCCCTTCCAGGGACCTTGATTTTTACCCGCTGGCACTGACGTCTTTTCATTAGTCAGTCGGTTAGCGCGGTCGATGTTAATAATGAAAACACACACGCGGTTGGTTCACACCAGGAGAAACAGCGGAAGCACTGAGCGAAACACGCAACACCGCCGGGAGTTGCAAGACAGCACTGACGGGGGAAGGGAGCCTTACACAGAGCTGGTGGTGGATGCCACTGCCATTGCTGTTGTTTCGGTGTGTGGAGAAGGATCATCGCTATATGCAAACCAAACCTTGGCCTGGGGAATAAAATACAAACTGATCCAAACAGGCGCGGCGTGTTATGTTCATGCTGTCCCAGACTCTCGGACTCGCGATTTCTGAGCGTCTTACATCCTCCTGGTCTGTATCAACCACCACACAAGACGGAGCATGGACACACCTCGTGGCGGAAACTTTTGTTATTGTTGTTGCTTCGGTGTGTGGGAGGGGGCACTTTGAAACAAAGCTGGGCCACGGGAATAAAATACACAAGAAAAAGTGCCTCTTTTTGTTGGAGGGGTCTTTTCCTCGCAGGCATGCACTGCCGACTCTCGCCACCTCAGCTTCTGTGGGTCCTATGGCCCTGTGGCCTCTGTCAGCCGCCACACAAGACGTCGTATACACACAGCTCGCGGGGAATAGCTTTGCAATTGCTGCTGCGTCACTTTGTGCAGAGAAACTACCGAAAGACCAAATCGGTATGGAACGTACGTATGCACACAGACAGGTCTACCGTCGGTGAGATAAGATACCACACCCCCTGTACCCATTGCTAAAGCTCGAGTATTCCAAGACGAAGAGGGACGTTATCGGAAAAATCGACGGGACGGTCCCCATACCACGATTTTCGGCACCGCCACTCTTTGCCTTGTGGAGCAACCGAGATTTGAAAGTTGGTTCAGGGTGTGGTATCTTGTGTCACCTACGGTACTGCTGTATGCGCACGAATCCCAACGACCGTTCGGTGCAGGAGCCATAATCTTCGAAAAAATTGACTGTCATCTTCGCCACTACAAAAAAAAACGCAGATAGACCACTGCAAGGTTTTGAGTCGGCGACCCCGCGCCTCACTACCCCGCCTTCTACCTAGTAGTAAGACAAAACAACGTGCTCACTGGCAGTGCATGCACTCTTCTATTAGCCAATGCATGTCCTGGTAGTCTACTTAGTATCCTCGAAAACCTTCCAGTAGTCAGGGTCAGGGGTTCGAATCCCGGCGTAAGCAAGCTTGTCTTGCAAAGTGAGTTTTCTCTCGCTTCCGTTCCTGGCCTGGGTGGAGAGCGCTAGTTCGTGTTTACAAGGAGGAAAACGAGTGCTGCACTCTTCTCGCATTAAAAATCGAAGGCAGAGTAAAGAGGTGGGTAAGGGGAAACCCTTCTGTGTGACCATTGGTTGGAGAAAAACGGCACAAGTGCTGTGAGCGCTGAGTTGAAGTGAGGTCAAACAAAAAAACAATGTCGTGTACAGTGGCGGGCCATCAATAACGCCAGTTGGATGTAGAATGACGCTGGTGGCCCTCAATAGCTCCGGTGAAATTGCTGGGCACAGTCCGGCGTTCTGGAGGGAGGCCCGCAATAGCACCGGTTTGGGCACCGCTAGACCCCGCAATAGCACCGTTATTTTCCTGAGGAGGTTACACACCGGTAGGGGTACACACGTGCATGTACAGACCCCACAGCTTTACGTAGGGCGCACCATGCGCCAGACAGAGTTGGGGGAATTCGATGCGACCGAAGTTATTGAAGGGAAATGAGGAGGGAGAAAAACCGGGGGTGAAGTCAACGCCGTTATTTTTTGCTGGTTCTACCCGGCATTGCGAGTTTTGTGTCTGATTTTCTGCATGTGGCGCTTCCTTCGCGGTCGTTTCTTGTCGTTGCTCGTCCACATCTGTTGTCCTTCGCTGTTGTACGATTCTTTTCAAATGCGTTTTCCATTCGGTGCATTGGGTGCAGTTGCGTCGCCATTTCCCTGTCGCGCAGTCCTTTCTGTAACGGCACCTTTTCCGGCTGTACAGCGCCTAGTTTTGAGGCAGGAGGATCAGAATGCTGCCGCTATTCTACATTGATGGGTGATCAGATTATGAACACAACGAAGACTCGGTCCGTGGTCACAAAAATGCTACAGAGCCATCATCAGAAGATCGTAAGAAACCGCCTTCAGAACACACACACTATTATTAGCAAGAAAAGGGTACACAAGCCCGAGGAGGTATACCTACAATCCCTGCAGCACGTTTGCGTGCTCACAACTTAACTACACGCCCACACACTACAATTCGACTACAGCAGCAGCATCACCCCCCTTGTCCCGCATTTCACCATAATGAATGTTTGTCGACTACAGCGTACTGCTGTCTGAAGTGCTGTCTGTACAAAAACAACACCATGGTGCATGGTACACAAGCTCGGGGCATGCAGCTGCGGTCTGAAGTGCTGTCAAAATGAGTCCGTGGACATACAATGAAGAACACCCAACCAAAGCCATCATTGCAAGTGACAATCACCCGAATCTATCCAGATCATCTGTGTTAGGCACAGCAGTGTAAACATCGACACTGACTAGGATTCGTTCCACATTGGAGGGGTCTTCCACGATGCAGGTACACAATTAAGGCACCCCCGTTATCCGCGCCATCTCTGTCGCGTCTCTCTACACAACCATTGACTCCATCACACGCACCCAACACCTATATTCAGGAAAAAACGGAACAATAATTGACAACACAAGAAGAGATGTTTGTCCGTGCGCCACGGTTGGATGCCATCCGCATGCTCCGGTTCCGCTGCTCCGCTTCCGCTGCTCCGGTGCCACTGTGGCCAGTCCTAGCACGACCAAACTCGACCCGCTCCGCTTCGTACACGCTCTCGTTGCTGTCCTTCCCAGTCGGTTCCTCGCTTTCTCCCTCGTTGCACTTAAGGTTCTTGGTCTGAAGATTCTCGCGCCGAAGGGTCAACCAGCCCAATCAGCTCGTCACCACCTGTCCCCTCCTCCTTTGATGGCAAAACCAAGTTACTGAGACAGTACAGCTCCCTCTAGCAAACCTAGGGCCGTGTACATAGTGGCCGTCCACCTTTCTGATGACGTCTGCCTCCGCGCACAAAGATGAGATGGGCATTGCTGCCTACACCGACGGCCTGGAGGCCCGCGCATCTGCACCTTTGTACCTGACGCACCAGTGCCGATCCAACTCCACCACTACGCACGCCTCGCGGCGGGTGCGCCGCAGCAAGAAGGTATCGGTCCCTTGAGGGTGAGTCTAGCCCTGCTCGCTAGAAAGACCCCCCCCTTCACTATGGGTCATGCCTACGCAAAACCTTGCCGAGGCAGCGAGGGGAAGAAAGGAAGCGCGTAGAAGTGGAGGATAGGGGCCAGAGGGGCAGACGACAGAGTCCAATGATGGGAGAAAAACAAACAAACAAAAAAAAACCCCCAACACCTATATTCTGGAAAAAACGGGAAAATAATTGACAACACAAGAGATATTTGTCCGTGCGCCACGGTTCGATGCCGTCCGCCTGCTCCGGTTCCGCTGCTCCGGTGCCGCTGCTCCGGTGCCGCTGTGGCCAGTCCTAGCACGACCAAACTCGACCCGCTCCGCTTCGTACACGCTCTCGTTGCTGTCCTTCCCAGTCGGTTCCTCGCTTTCTCCCTCGTTGCACTTAGGGTTCTTGGTCTGAAAATTCTCGCGTCGAAGGGTCAACCAGCCCAACAGCCCAGTTCAGCTCGTCGCCACCTGCTCCCTCCTCCTTTGATGGCGAAGCCAGGTTACTGAGGCAAT